AGCAAAAATTTGACGATAAACTTATTAACGCGAATTTACCTTCGCTAAAACCAAAATTATCTTGCACGGAAATGGAGTTAGATGTGGTATATCCAATTATTACCATGAAACGATTGGTGAACGCTAAATTCCCTTCATTACTGGTGGAGCTTGAAGATAATGTTGTTTTTCTCCCGGAACGATATCTAAACCATGTAGACGAGGAGTTTGCGGAAATGGTAAATTCAGGGGAATATGAAAGAATTGGATTGTTGTTGCACTCCCGGAAATATGTTTCCAAAGATAAAAATCCATTACATGAATTTAAATTCGTTAAATGTTAAAAAGGTAATATATAGAATTCAAAACACTCGAAAAAATCTATTAAATTGAATTCTTAAAATAAATATAATTTTAAAAATATATTATGACTTTATTTACCATAACCGCAATCCTTCCCACATAAACTTTCCAAGCGATTTTTTTGTTGGAGTGAGAGAGGGGGAAGGAAAAATACTTCCTCGATAGTATATAAGATTGGCGAGTTAATACGAAAATCATTAGTTTTAGTTTAAACGCTATATAAACAACCTACAGCAATGGAAAATATTTCAAATCAATTAGTAAAAACTGTGCGATTAATGGTTGAACAATCGAAAACTATAGAAGATTTTAAAAATATCGAAAAATTTAATAAAACCAATATTCGTTTAATTAATAAATGTCTGCGTATCGGTAATAGTAAACTTTCATGTTATAAGCGTTATCAAACAATACTGTGCGAGTTAAGACAACTCGATATAAAAATAAAACGTTCTCTACAATTTTTAAATAAAAGGGGTGAAGGGTTAAATAGAAGGACACGAAGTAAACGGGTGAGATGGCAAGATATCGCTTCAGCATTCGAATCTCGATTACGAACGGGAGCGATCGTCAATTTAACGCATATAGATCCACAAAAATTTTTGGAAGATTGTGTTCCACTCATTAAATCAAGAATCCGAAACATATTAAAAAAAATGAGCGGAGTAAAAGTAAATGTAGAACTATCAAGTAATTTTATTATTCCCACGAGCGAAGAACAGGATATCAAATATTTTAATACACCTAACAGGGTAATATTACAATCTTCATGTATCAACACAATCTTAAATGAATTTATCGAGATAATTTTGGGTCAGGTGAGTTTCTTTCTATGTTTTATAAAAGCATATTAATTAGCTATTATTATTTTTTTATTGAGATGAGTGAATTCGCTGAGCGAGGTTCTGGTTGGGCATTCCTCTCCCTCAATTATTTATTGGTCTGCATCAATAAATATTCGCCCATCCATGGAGGTAGCTATATAGAGTTGCCTAGTAGCTTGAGTAATAGGAAAAAAGGAGCGATTCTTAATATTCGAAATTTAAACGATAATTTGTGTTTTATTTATTGTATGCTGGCTTCTATATATAAAATCAACTCAATAGAGGCACGATCATATAATTATTACAATATTGAAAAGATCTTTAATTTGCAAGGATTAGATTTTCCTCTTAAATTATCGGATATTAGTAAATTTGAAAAACAGAATCCTACAATGTCTATTAATGTTTTCGGATTCAATGATGCTTTAGAATTAGTAGGACCATACTATCATACAAAACAAATAAAAGATAACCATTGTAATTTACTAATTTTGGAAAAAAATAATTTGCATCATTACTGCTTAATACACGATTTAGCTCCACTATTATTTAAATCTATTACCAAAAATAGAAACAAATTATTTATTTGCGATCGTTGTCTCAACCATTTTAATTCAAAAGATCTACTACATAAACACTCATTAAGTTGTAGTGATCATAAAGCAGTTAAATTAACAATTCCGGAAGAAAATACTCTGCATTTTAAAAATTTTAAAGCATTATTTAGGAAACCTTTCGTTATTTACGCAGACTTTGAATCTTTACTAAAAAAAATTGATGGTTGTTCTAATTCGAACTTAAAGTCGTGTATGTTAAATTATCAATTACATGAAGCATGCAGTGTTGCATTTAACATCGTTTGCTCGTTTAACGAGTGCTACAATAGTTTTAAAATGTATCGAGGACAAGATCCTCAAATATGGTTCATTGAACAATTAAAACTTTTAAGTAATGAACTTTACTTAATCCTAAAAGCCGGCACCACAAATCGTATGCATCCCATGACGCGAGCAGAAAAGAACGCATTCCATTCCACAAATAACTGTCCCATCTGCTTTTGTAATTTTACAAACACAAATCCCAAAGTCAAACATCATGATCATTTTACAGGAAAATTTATATCTCCTTTATGTTCCAACTGTAATTTACAAATCAAAGTAGACTATAGCATCCCTATTTTTTTTCATAATTTAAACGGTTACGATGTACACCTTTTTGTTTTGGAGCTTGCAAAAAAACTATGAAATCAACATGATTCCAGATAACCATGAAACATACATTTCTTTATCAGTGAAAATTAATCAAATAAAATTTGTATTTTTGGATAGTTTGGATAGTTAATTTGTTTGGTAATTCATACTAAAGCAAGGTTTCCAAACCCCCAACAATTCAAATTAACTACGCGAAAAGGTGTATATCCTTACGACTATATAGACAATTTTGATAAATTCAATGAAACATGTTTACCTGAACAAGAGAAATTCTTTTCAATTCTCGCGAATGAGGGAATAACCGATGATGATTATTCGCATGCACTCGATGTTTGGAATACATTCGATTGTAAAACACTAGGAGACTATTCAGATTTATATTTAAAAACGGATGTGCTTCTTTTGTGTGATGTATTTGAAAATTTTCGTAATTTAACGATTAATCATTATGGATTAGGTGCTGCAGCATTTTACACTGCTCCAGGATTAAGTTGGGCTGCATCCTTGAAATCAACCCGTGTAAAATTGGAGCTTCTTAAAGATATTGATATGATTTTATTTATTGAAAAAGGAATTAGAGGCGGAATTACTCAATCCTTTCATCGGTATGCTAAAGCAAATAATCCATATGATCCCAATAATTTCGATGGAGATCCTTTTCATACATACTTAATGTATTGGGATGCAACTAACTTATATGGTTGAGCTCAAAGCCAATATATGCCGATTAATGAATTTAGCTGGTTATATGATACAAATTTTAATGTATTAAATGTTGCCGACGATTCTGAATATGGATATATCGTAGAAGCGGATTTATCGGTACCAAGAGAATTACACGATTTTTACAGTGATTTTCCCTTACTCCCTGAACATATCAAACCTCCAAACAGTTCCATCTTGAAATTACTATGTACGCTTAATAATAAATTTTCATACATAATTCACTATATTAATTTAAAACAAGCTGTTAAATTGGGTATTAAGATTGATAATGTAAAACGTATTTTAAAATTTAGACAATCACCCTGGCTAAAGCAGTTTATAGATTTAAATACGAAATTGCGAATGAAGGCCGACAATGAATTCGATAAAAATTTCTTTAAATTAATTATTAATGCACATTTCGGAAAAACTATGGAGAACGATAGAAAAAAAAGGAAAATTGTTATTTGTAATAATTGGAGGAGCGCTCGAAAATATATATCAAAACCCGAATTTAAATGTTTAAAAATTTTTAGTGAA